TTCGTTGTAGCTAAATTAGCCCCCATCATATTGTATGTATAGTTGGGGTTATTTTTTCCAATGTGCATGATTTGACATTTAGCCACATTACATTTCAACAAACAGCAAAAGGCAACTTGGGGGATTTTACAATCAAAACTGCAGCTGAGTGCAGAGCTGGAGTGCTGGGCTTTGCCGAATAGGGGCTTGCAGTCGTGCGATGGGATGTCGGGCTCTCTCACCAAGAGCAGGGGTAATCTGCGTTTGCATGGGGGACCTGCAGTGAAAACCCAGGTAGTGTCAGAGGTCAGTGCTGGGCCGTTGCCCCAGTGTGGTGCTAGGGGGCTCTGTGCTGCTGCGGGTGCAGGTTTTTGAAGTGGGATCTAAAACCAGCCTGCTGACCGCTCAGGTTGGTAAAGGTCTTAGGTCAGTGTGTGATTTTTAGCTGGGGAGTCCCGCTCCGATTGAGGTGTGAACAATTGCCTGCTGCCTCCTTAAATCCACCCTGTGGCTTCCACTGCATACAGAGACTTCGCTGTCTCCTCTGAGACTGGTTCGCTGGCAAATGGCTGTGGTGCTCCTCCCCTAGATGTGGCTGCATTTCCGGGATTTGTACATCTGTGAAGGGAACGCGCACTGTATGAATGGAGGAGGATGGTGGAGAGTCTGTTCCCTGCCTCCGGGAGGCATAGCCTGGCATGCAAGGGGCATGGGTGGCTTTGAAGCTACATTTGTGCCTCGGGGCTGCTGTGGTGGTCAAAATGGCGCAGGCATAAATAAGAGCAGCTGCAGGGCTGCTCTATTTTGCAGCACCTTCCAAGAGCTGCCTAGTGGCTGCTGTCCCATCTGGCGCAGCACAGAAGCTCTGTAGTGGCATGTGCTATACCACTCCTGGCAGGGCAGCTGCCCCAGAGCTGCCTGGGGTGGTGCAGTGCTTTGCACCGATAGAATATCCTGCCGCACCTGGCCCCACGGATCTGCTCCCCCTCCACATGCACCCTGGCGTGGTGTAGAGGGGCTGCGGAGGAATCTGTTCCGCATTCTTGGTGCTAAATGCCAGCATTTTTCTCCCATTTGCTAAGGGGTCTGTGTCAGAAAGCACCAGCCCCCCTACAGCTCTGCCCGCCAGAGCAGTGCCCTTGCTGCGCTTGGCTGCGGAGTCTGAGATTCTTAATGAAGTCTTGACGGAAACCAACCCCCCCAGCTGCTGAATCTGGCGAAATGAAGTCGGGTGCCGCGAAGACCTGCTAGCTGTTTAGCAGTGTGCACTCCTAAAACTCAAGATGGAATCAATAATTAACAGGGGTCCTTGTCTTCATCAGAAAAGTAACCAGTTCAGCTGGGGTCCTTAAAACAGTCCTGGATTCGCATAATCCTATTGGCTGAAGCCTGACTAATTGTAATTAGTGGAAGGGCCTGAAGCTCAATTAAAGTGTACTGAGATTATGCCTTTTTATAATTGCTTTAGTGCCAGGGGATTAGCTTTGGAATGATACTCATCCAGCAGACAAACTGGGGCTTCCACAGGAAACCTGGGCCAAGAAATTGAGCAGGGATCAGAAGAAGTACTTTTTTTTTTAATACTTGATAGTCAGTTGACCCCTAGGACTCCCTGTCACAGATATTTATTGTCAACTGGGGCCAACACCTTAGCAGTGGTCAGAAAAGGATTAGACAGTCCTATGGAGAATGAGGAACATCTGCCGTGACAGTAGATGGGATTAAAATAGGGAAGGGATAACCACTCTCATGCTTCACTACTCGGGGATAGGAAGAAACTTCCCCAGTGGACAGATAAGGAATAACCTGCCCATTATGTAGCCTCTTGTGCCATCCTCTGAAGCACCCTAGCAGTGGCCACGAGGACCCTTTCTTCTGCTCCACTCTGGCAATTCCTAGGGTTCTAAGAATACCAAACAGCAAATGACCCAGCAGTAACGCCCACCCCTTGCATTAGTACCCAAGGCCAGCATTTGCAAAGGTAGGCACCTGAATCCATGCTTGGTTGCTAAGTAACTAGTCTGATTTTTCCAAGTGGCTCGGGGCCCTGTGGCTTCCATTGATTTCATCAGCACAGGAGGGGTTCTTACAGCTTTGCTAGCCTCGGCCAGGAGGATGCTGTCAGATGAGGTAGCATGCCAGAGTCCCAGGCCCTTGGTGACCTCACTGCTTTTCAAGATCGAACAGCAGCTTGGGATCCATATGGGCTGAATCTGGGGCCCATCCCTCGTTATCATGGGGTTTCCTGTCTCATAAGAACCTCGGGGAAGGGACTTCGTCTCCTGGTTTGTTTGTCACACATTAATTGCACTATATCTGCTATTAATGAATATCTTTGCTCAGCTTGTGTGCTCCTTGGACTGTCTGATGAATACACGTGCATGCAGCACCTAGCGCAATGGGCCAGGATCCATGGGTGGGCCCTCTAACCATAGGGCAATACACCTAATGAGTCAGAAGGGAAATGTCATGTGCCCATAGGCCGAGCTTGGTGAACACTGCAAAGATCTGGGCCCACTTTCTGAGCCCCGTTGCAGTCGCTTTGCACGGTCTTCTAGCAAATGTGGTTCATGGCAGGGGCGTTCTGAGAATCGGCCCATTTGACCCCAATATTGCAGATTTGTGCAAAGCACATTTTAAAGTGGCAGCTGGGACAGCGGGTTCTGAAAGGGCCAGTCGAGGATCCTGCGCTCAGTCTAGCTCTGCTGTCTGGGATATTTGTGACGGCCGAGTTGCAGGCTGAAGTCTGCTCGTGAGAACTCTCGGGTCGTTGATTGCCAGCCAGGGATCTCCCAACAACAAGCTTCTAAACTGAAGAGGAGGCAAAATCCAGCCGATAAATTATTTGCTAGGAATTGTTCTACCCCAAACACACCACTACACACTGAAATACTGCGCAGAGCCAGAGAGACGAGCAAATGCCCCTCTGGGACAATAAAATACACAGTCAAACGGGCGGGAGCGGACAGTGTGTAACGATAGCATTACCCCAACGCCCTCTCTCTCACCCACATGCTCCTCTCCTCCACCCCGACCGATGTACATACCATTAGAAATGAGATCAGCTTACCCATTTCTAAAGGAAGGGTCATAATCCTATTAGCCAGGAGCAGAATAAACCCACCCGCCCGCAAGAACCATCCAGAGTGTCGTCTATAGGACACGGATCCATCGCGGAGCGTCAGAGGTGGCTGGGGCTAGTGCCAGCCCAGTGCAGCTGGCCCTGTGAAACAGCTGCAGCAGGGTAAGTAATCCCCACTGCTTTCAATACACCGAGTGTAGCTGTTCTTCAGCGTCTTACGTAAGGGGCCTGTGCTCCAGCCTTCGTCTCGCTCACGTCCCTGTCTCGGTCTACTTCTGCCACCTGCGTGAGACTGTACTTCCTTTCCTTGGTCTTTAAAATCCTACTCAGTCCCTCTGCTGTGCTCTGAGGGGCGAAGGGGGTCGTTACTCTAGGCCGTGGGGCCGTTAGCCGATGTGGGGCGGATTCGAATCTTATCAGACTGTTGGCATGAACTGGTCCAAGATAGCTAGTCTGGACAGGCACCGAAGAACTAAACTAGATAATATCTGGGGTGCTCCAAGCTGTCCTCGTACTTCCAGCCTGCTGAAGGAGCCGCCGAGTGCCCGTAGCAAACCTCTGGGCAGCTCGGTCCGTTTCCAAAGGCTCAGGACTGGAGTTGGTCACGATGGGTGAATTTTCAAAGAAAAACTTTAAAACATGAATTTTATGGGATTCTTTTTAATTGGAATGTTTTGGGTTTTTGCTCTTTCCCCTTTTCCAGGTGGGAAGTGGGGTGGGTGGATCCTGGAAACAGCACTGGAGGAGGGGGGGGGTCATAGAAAATTTCAGAGAGAAGGGAAATGTTCCTTTTGCAAAAAGGCTGGTTTTGTTGAAAACTGTTTTGAAAGGGAGAGTGTTGACCGGCCGCTTGGATTGGTGCCGCTCTGGGGATTTGCAGAGGAGGCAGATGCACAAATCTGTCCAGTTGTTGTTTGCAGGAGTTTTTTTCCTCTGGCTTGCTGTGGATTAGGTGCTGAGGGCCTGCTCCAAAGCCCCTGAGCTGAGGGCAAGACTCCCACTGCCTTCAGTGGCTGGGGATCAGTCCCCAAATGTTTCTGAGACACTAGTTAAACTAAAGCCTTACTAGAGAGGGGACCTGCAACAGCTGCTGACCCTGGTCCCGATCCTCCAAACAGGCACGTGTTGCCCTATTGCCCGGGAGACTGCTTAATAGATTACACCTATGCTTAACTTTATTATTTGCATTGCAATAGCACCTAGCGGCCCTCGACCAGATCAGAGCCCCGGTGAGCTAGGGGCCGCACAGCACACGCAGCTTAGTCTGAATGCGCCAGCCAGCCAGCGGGGTAGAGAGCACGGTGAAGTGACGTAATCAAGATATGGCAAAGGCAAGGCTAGAATCCAAGTCTCCTGACTCGCAGCCCCGGGTCCCTTTCCAGCCTGGCAGACCAGCCCAGCCCCGCACTGAGAGGCGTTGGTAACAGAAGGGAATGCCCCTGATTACAGAACACCGAGTGGGGTGAAGGGGATGCTCCGCCGTTGGAGAAGCCAGGAGGACAGTCTTTCGAAGGGGCAGCGTTTGGGAACGGCACAGGTGGCTGTGTCGGGGATCACTGAAATCCCTCCCAGGTAAGGGGCTGTATAACGGCACTTGCTGTTGAAGACCCAAGCTTGATTGGAGGCACCTCCTAACTCTCATCATTTATCCACCAGAAATAAACCGTAGGGGCTAGACGCTGGCCTCTCTATGCCCAGGGGCTAGTAGGCTATTGAGTAGCCGGGGAGGGCTGCTTGCGGGGTAGCATACTAGCCCACGGGCTTTGGGAGACCAGCATCTGGCCTTTAAAAACCCATTTCTCCTTTCACAAGTTATAGATATGCCTTGCTACATCGCCTGTGGTTTTACTGGGGAGTGACTGGAACGGGCGATGCTTTGCTTGGTTCGCCCCGGAACGGAGACGTTTCTTGGGGACAGGAGACTGACACTGCTGCGGAAACCATTAGAAACAACGGAGTGATAGTAATTTACCAACCCCGAGCATTCAAGAAACCATGAGTCCGCGCCCTCCCCTCTCCAGAAAATACAAGATTGGCTTAAAAAAAAATCATGAGAGGGTTTTTTCCATTATTTCTCTGGTCTCTAGGGTTTGTGTTCCATATGCCACTGCTAGAAAATTACTACGCTGAAATCCCTGCGTAATGGCATGATGCAGGGGGCCTGGGGCTTTAAGAAAAACACCAGCTCTGAGACTTGTGATAAAATCATGAGAACTGGCAACCTGCAGGCGAGTTTGGGTTCCCAGGTACAATCAGGCCGGACGCTAACACTGGAGGAGAAGACATGGATGCTGCACTCCCCCCAGTTATTCCGGTCTCGTGTTTCACAGGAACTAATAGTGAAAGCGCTGTGTCCCACACAGCTACTGGTAAAAACAGCATTAAGGCTGGCGAGAGGAGGGATCCATCTACGCCGGTGGCCAGACCCAGCTTTTTCAGAACATTTCCCCCCCCCCTCCACCCCCAGGCAATTCTAGGATAACATTTCCACCTACTCCTTTCAAAGGTCAGTTCATGGCCTGAACCAGGAAGGGCTAGGGCCCTTCCAAACTTTGGGTAGGGGGGAGGTTGTGTTTAACTCATGGATGTTTTCATTACCCACAGAAGTGTTCAGCCTTTTTGTGGGTCCAGCTAAGCTTGTGGCCTCAATGGTCTTGTGGCAATGAGTTCTGCAGGATAACTGGGCCCTGTGTAAACTTTTTCCTCATATTGGTTTTAAATCTGCTGCTTTTTCACTGGTTGAGTGGCCTCTTCTTGTGCTCTGAAGGATACATTGAAATCACCTACCTGCCTTCTCTCTCCAGTCGTTATGTTGTATTCTTTCATCGTGTCCCTTTATATTTATCTCCTAACAGCTCCGTCCTTTCCCTCAAAAGCTAGAAAATGCCAGAATTAAGCTTGCCCGTGTAACCTTAATTCTGCCCTTGGTGGGTGTGCATTGTGGGACAGTCTCATTACATGATCAAACTGTCTCTCGACTAGGCTATTTTCACAGCCCAAGAGAAGGGAAATGCAACCAGCAGCATCCACAGTGAACTGTCTCCGAGAGCTCATTTTAAATGCTAATCTCGCGACGCGTTATCTGTAGACCTGGATCTCTGTCTTTTGGAATATATATGACTTTTAGCTCAATTGGGCCCAATAACTCCTGTGCTTGCAGCAGCCCATACGGACACACGTGCTGGATCAGTGCCCTGGAGCACAGACTTCAGGGCCTGCAGTCCCAGGGAGAAAGGACCTGTTTTGTCCTTGCGAACGCACAGTTTAAAACAAGCCAGCAGGGACATTTCAGTCCCCCGCAGGTGCTGCTCCCGTCCTTGTTAACACGCTGGGGCACGTTATCCGCGGGTGACCCCAGGGCTTTCTGAACACGAACCGGCGGGAAGAGACCTCTGCACAGTGCTGGGCCCAGCAGCCGAGCTGACCTTGCATGCTCAGATCTTCCCTTTGCCAGGACACCAGCACGCCAGCTGCTCCCAGCACCCAGTGTCAGAAGCAATAACAGCACCCCGCAAAGAGCCTCCCAGATTCATTCAGCCCTCTCTGCCCCCAGGTTCCCGCCAGGCTTGGAATGGTGGAGGTCGGGGGAGAAGGAGCAAACGGTTGTAACTGCCGGGATTTGCTGTTTAAAGAAATAGACGCTAAAGCCCCCGCTTTGTCCCATGTCAATGTCCTTGCAGTAATGAGCTTAGAGCTGGCTGAGCTCAGCTCATTCCAAGGTTGCAGGAGCTTTTCTTCTGCAGCAGGGGTGGGGGCCTGGCAAGTGGGTCACCGAGCCATGGAACGGAGCCCTGGCCCTCTCTGGGCGGGTGAGTGGCTAAAGCTTTCGTTTAAAAGGCATGGGAGGGGTCTGCGTCCCACTCCCTAGCTAGCCAGCACTGTTCTTGGCCTCTTGTATGCACCAGCCCCCTGGGCGGGCGGGCCAGAGCTGACTAGGGGTTGGCCACCCAGCTCCCATTCGTTCCCAGGAGCTGGGTAGCTACGGCCCCTTGCGGGCACTGAAAATCTCCATCCAGGGTCACGGGTGGGGATTGCTCCGCACCAGAAAGCGCATCCCCCTGCCCCACGAGCGAAAGTGGTAACAGGCTGTCAGTGAGTGAGTCAGCCACTAGAGGGAGGTGTGATCCCATGCACCACCCATCTTGCACCCAGATTCCCTGCTCCCAGGAGCGAGCAGCCTTGGGTGACTCACACCCGCTGGGGTGCCGCTGCGTCCCCCCTCTAGCAGCAGCTGGGTTGAGGCGCCTGCTGCTACACTCTGGACTAAGAGGGGTGGGTCTAGTTCAGGCACAGAGACTTGGGCATCTAGATCCCTTCCAGCTGCTGCTAGCCCACCCAGGAAGGCAGTAGTACGTTTGCATTGATGGCCCGTCTCAGCAGGCACCGTGGGCCACCATCGCCTTGCTCCCCTCACGTGGCCAATTCTCTTTCCTTCTTTCTGCCTCCAAACGTGTGACTTGTAGGGAGAAGCCGGGACCTGGAGCCAGGGGGACTGCACCAGCAGCTGACACCCCACCACAGCCATGAGCCTGGAGCCCCCAAAGCTGGAGATCAAGTCGGCCACCAGGGTGACTGGAGGGCCAGTCACCCCCAGGAAAGGGCCCCCCAAATTCAAGCAGAGGCAAACCAGGCAGTTCAAGAGCAAGCCCCCCAAGAAGGGGACCCAAGGGTGAGCACATAGGGTGGGAGTGCTGCTCTCGCAGAATCTGGTCTCCCTGTACCGGTGAGCAGGCAGTCCCCGGAAGATGCTAATGGTGACTTGCCTAGCCCAGGGGCTCAGTGCACCGCCAGCCCCTTCTGGCCAGGACTAACCTCTGGGCCTGGGCTCTGCCCCCCAGCTGTAACAGCTGCAACCCCTGAGCATTTAATCCCCAGAGAGCTCGGGGGCGGGGCAGTCTCACAGCAGAGCCCTGCCCCCATCCACCTCCCCCCCCCCCCCGAACCAGTGTCTTTAGGGGAACCCATGTGAGGCTAGAGGGGACTCGAGCGGGTTGGGGTGGCAGGACAGCCCAACAATGCGGATGGAGGGGAGCCACTGGCAACAGAGCAGGGAGACCTTGGTGGGGGCTTTAACAAAGAGAAAGGAGTGCCCCAAACAGCAGCGAAATGAGAGGAGACCACCCATTGCACCGAGAACCAGAGTCATGAAGGTCGTCTCACCCCTATCGCCCGTTCACTGACCACGTCCAGGGAGATGCAGCCAGGTGGGGGCTCAGCAGTTCATGCAGGACACCGCAGCAGTGTGATTCTGCAGACCTCTGCAGAGCAGACTGGGCGTCAGGTCTTCGGCAAAGGCTCCACACCCGGAGTGAACTGCCTAGAGCTCAGTTCTCTCTTAGGGGACAAAACCACAGCCACCCCACGGCCCTACGGTGCTGGGCAATGGGCTCTTTCAAGGCTGGGTTTCTGGCCAGTAAGCCAGCGAGGGGTATTTGCTGGAGAGGATCCCTCTGTCCAGCCTCTCGTCCCACACCCCTCCATGCAGAGCTGGGGGTCACAGCTCGCTGGGGGTGGGCAGGGATGCTCCCGGCTGAGCCCAGGGCAGGGAGAGTGATGTAATGGTGTCTCTCCTTGCAGGTTCGGTGATGACATCCCTGGCATGGAGGGGCTGGGAACAGGTAACCGAGCAGCTGGTGCTTGACTGGTTTGGAAATAGGGAATGTGTTGCACATGAAAGGGAGAGATTAACGTCGGGGGCCAGGCCACCCCCACCCCGCTCTGCAGAGGCACCTCAGCCCTGGGGAGAGGCTCACAGCTGTGCAGATATCGAACCCCCTCTGCATTTCCACCACAGCTTGTGCTGGACTCCTCCCCCCTCTCCCCCCCCCCTGCTCAGCCCTGACCTGCAGCTTCCCACCCCCTTGGTCCCCTCCGGAGAAGTGGCTGCCAGCTGAGCCCTGGCTGGGTTTGCTGTGGATAAATGGAACCAGGAGGGATTGCACATGGGTCAATTTCACATATGGCCTAAAGCAGGACTTGAACTTGTGCCTTAATTCCCTGTGCCGCCCCGTCCCTCCCCCTTTGCAGGCCCCATTCCCCCTGCACCAGAGAATGAACTTCCAGAACAAAGGCAGAGTGCCCGGGGGAGAGCTCTGCCCTGGGTAAACAGCGCCCAGCCCCAGGGCACCGATCTCCACTGGACAGGCAGGACGCGCTGGCATGGAACGAGCCAACTGGGACTAGGGGCGCCCAGAGCAGGGACAATGCCAAGCAGCAGTGCTGGGGAGAGCGCTTTGCCCAGACCGCAGCCAGACCCTGTCTCACGCTGACACCTGCCTCTCTCTGGTTTTCCCCTTTCAGACATCACCGTGATTTGCCCCTGGGAAGCTTTCAGTCACCTGGAACTCCACGAGCTGGCGCAGTACGGCATCATCTAGCCAGCCCTGAGCGTGTGTCTCATGGCAGCCCTCGGATTGTCACTATTTATACAGAGGGGGCTGCAGCGCTTTCGCTGCTAGTGACCAGACCAGCCTGAACAAGCTCTTTAAAATAAACACGCTCAGCCGAATCTGCTCTGAGTCTGACCTGGCTTTCCGAGCCAGCTCTATGCCACCCTTGACTCTCCCATGCAGCTTGGATGTGTTGCTTCACCCGGGATTTCCCCAAACACGCTGTGTATCACCAGTCTCACTCACCTCTCAGCTTGCCCAGCCCGCTGGAGCCAGGCCAGTGGGATTTGGCATTTAACGTGTGCTAATTGTTAGAAAGCCCTGGAATTTTCACTAGGGCTGCAGACTCAGCAAACAAGGGAGTGGGGGGAGCCGGGGCCGCAGTGTGAGGTGTAGAATGATCCTCCCTCTGTTGTGGATTAGCAACCTTGTCTGTGTGATGTTCTTCACAGATGCCTAGGGCGGGGGCAGGAGCCAGGGTAGCTTTACATTACCATGAGCTGCAGAGGGTGGATTATACGGGCTAATTACCAGCACTTGTCAAAACCCAGGCATCACACACACACACACACCCCAAGCCTCCCCATTTCTCAGTGAAAATGCTTTCAGACAGACATCCCCACCGAAGGCCAGGCAGCTCTCCTCCTTAAAACTTCCCCTGCCCCTTGTCTCAAAACATGCTTCTCAGGCAAGAAGCAGGCAGCCCCAGGGAAATGCAGCCACCTATGGGGAGGAGCAGAGAACTCCCTGCTTGCACCTGGCTGCTTGGGTGAAAGGAGGGGGCCGAGGTTCAGGGTGTTTTGTGGTACTGATTTGAGATGCTGCTTGTGTAAGCGGCTCTGGGAGCTGGGAGCCCGGCCTCCTTTGCCCATGGATAATTGATACAGCTGTGCCAAGAGGCGAGGCAGAGGGAGCAGCTGGGCCAGTTTCCCACTCAGCACAAAGCCCTAATTGAGCACTTCACATCCTGCAGGGGCCGGGCAGACATTAGTCACCTGGAGATTCCCCTTGGGGGCGGGAGGGGACGGAACCGGGGGCAGAGGATGCTGCAGCATAGGGGCTGCACCAAGCAGGCCAGCTAGGAGCCTCTGAGTCAGCCGGGCCGGGGTAGCCAGCACCGGCATTCAAGGCTCAGCTCTGCACAGCCAAGCAGGGCCACGGCTCTGTTCTGCAGGCTGCATCTCATTGCAAGGCCTGGCTGAGGCCGGTTTCTAGCATCAGACAGTTGGACTCAGCGATTGTCACTCCTCGGGGGCTCACTTGCTCTGCCTGCCCTGCATGGTATCTCATTGGGGGAGGCACTTCCCAGGCACTCCCTCCTCTACAGCCATGGTACAGGTAGAGATTTATTTGCCAGGTAACTACAAAGCTTTCCAGCCCCAGCTGGGCAGGGCACGGCCTCCCCACAGCAAGCAGGAGATGGGAGGCAGGCAGCACACGGGCTGGAGACGGGGGGCATAGGAACCCTTGCACTCAGCTGAAGGCCTGAGGTTCCCCCCTCCGTGACAGAGGTCAGAGCTGCTGAGAGAGGGTCTCCTAGCAGCAGTCAGGTGCAGGTGGGCTGTTTCTCCTGTGCACGCCCTGCTGCTCCAGCCAGGCACGGAGGGATCAACTCTGATCTCCCACAGGCCAGGGAGCCGCTGAAGCAGGCTCAGTGAGGCCAGTGGAGTTCCCTGCCTGGGCCAAACTAGTCCCAGAACTAACCCCCTCTCCCACCAGCGGCCCTCTTGCCAGTGCACGAGGGGCTTTTCTTGGCATGGTTCCACCCCCTTTTCACGGGACACCAGCTGGAACGATAGCGCCGTTTCACACTGGAATCAGCATGTCCACCGAGGGGGTCATGCCGAGACAACCAGCCCGGCTTAGATTCACACCGGAGCTTCTACCAAACAGCCTTTCCCACAGCGCAAGGCCTCAGAGAACCCGAGCTCAGCAGCGAGCCCAGCCCGTCCATCTTGCCCTGCTGGACAGCGGTTCGGAGCCCCCGTTTCTATCACATCGGCTTGAAGCTCCACCCCAGGATCCAGCCCTGACCTCCAGCCATGGGCGGCGAGTCACCAAGCCCCTGGCTGCCAGCCTCGCGCTCTGGCAAGTGCCAGGTCTGCCAGTAACTTGGTTGCCAATAAGAAGCCTCCAACTTCAACCAGGATCAGAAACACAAAGCAGGCACTCAGCACCCCCCCGTGGCTGTGAAGCCACCGGCTCAGCTGGGGTGCGCAGCCGCCGAGGGAGATGATACTTTGAGCCGCAAACTCCTCCATGCCGAGGGCTCCGAAGCCACACTGGGAGTTTGTGATGGTGCCGTTCTCCAGGGGATTCAGACAGCAGGAAGCGGGAACGCCGCAGGCTTGCACACCAGGGGAGCTGCAGTTAAAATACCTGCGAGGGACCAAAGAGAATCCGTCAGTCTCTCGGGGGGTGACTGGAGGACCCCAGTGCTTTGGTGCTCACCATCGCCGCAGCCGGCGCTGCTCACTGCAAGCAGAGAGAACCCCTGAGCTGCAGCTTCAGGGTCCATCTCCCACGGCCAGGAAAGGCTGCAGCGGTTCTACTCTGAGACCCCTCTGTTACGTGGGCCAAGCTGCACTAGGCTCGAATCAGAACTGGAGCACAAGTCTGGGGCTGGCGGTTGGAACCTGAGCGGGAACGTTACCTGCCAGCCCCTCTCTCAGGTTGGTTTAATGGTGTCATTTCCTCAGCCCACCCCCGCTCCCCACACCCTACCATATACAAATGCACGTGCCAGCCAAGCCATAGAGGGAGGGCCCAGAGCCTTGAGGCTCTGCCCTGCCCTGCAGTTTCTCTGGGTTGTTGTAAGAAGAAAAAGCAAAGCAAAGAGCCTCCTTTTGCAGGAGAACGTGGAGAAGTTCGGGGCTCCAGCACTGTAGACCAGCATCTTCCCATGGCCCAGTCTCATCAGCTCACTCCTCGCGGGAACACAACAGCTTTCCTCTAGTGTCTGTCCACCCACCTGGCTCTCAGTCCACACGGAGCCGCCCTACGGAGGCCAGGCCCAGGAGTGCTTTACAACCGCCTTGTGGAGATCTATCCCGGCTCCCAGTACAGAAAGGAGGGGGAGCGCAGATTGTGCCTTGGCTGGTAAGTTTCCATGAGCTTTGCAAGCGAGGCTGAAGGCATGTGGCTGTAACACGCCTCTTGCCAGTGTTCAGCCTGACCTGCTAGGAAGCTGCAGCATGAGCCTGTAGCCAGGAGCTGAGTCAGCTGATGCTGTCTCTCCTGCATGCAAGGAGCACTTGGTGCTTTGCTAGCCTGGATCAATGGATTGCCCAAAGCCGAGATTTTCCACTACCTCCCAAGTGAGCCAGACCACGTGGCTGTAGCCCGAACCTTTGTACTCACATGTTCATTTTCCAGTCCTGGTAGGACTCCACGCCGCAGCATTGCAAGCCCATCTGAACTTCGTCCATGATGAATCTCAGATCTGGGTCATCCTGGTACCTTAGGACAGCCACCAGCATGGTGTTCTGCAGGGAGCCCTTGATCTGGTGTCTCAGAGAATACAGTACAAGCCCGCCGAGAATCTCCAAGATGACGAAAGTGATGACTCCCCCAGTAAAGAACTTCAGCAGGCAGGTGTTTTCATAGAGGGCTCCCATGCAGCCTGCCAGAGAGATGGTGCTGATGGCCAGACCCACCAGGACAAAGAAGAGCATGGGGTCAGAGCCCAGGTGGGCTATACGCTCACTTACCAGGGACTCCTTGTCCAGGAGCCCCCAGATCCCAAAGGCCAAGATCAGCAAACCCAGCACAGAGAACAAGAGGTTCCAGAGGAAGGTCAGGTACTTAATGCAATAGCTGCAGGAATCCAGGTTGTGGCCAGGAGGCGGCAGAAGATCCCATTGTCCTGGGTGCTTCTCTGGCAATCCAGTGTCTGGGTCTCCGGCGGGAGAGAACAGGGGGCCAGGGACGTTGGGTGAAGAAAGCAGCTTGCCCAGTCGGCGTGCCTGATTGGTGGGAGAGAGAGAGAACAGATCATTTCCTGGCTCAGTGAGGAGCAGAAACGCCCAAGCGTGTCCTCTCTTCTGGGAAGCCCTGCCCCACTGGGGCTCCTGGACAAGATTCCGACTTGGCTAAAGTTTTTCTCGGTTGCACTTAAACTTTGTCGCTTCCCCCACCCCCTCAAAACGTTGTTTTTTGCAGCCTCCCGGATTATGTAGGATGTTAATGCATTGGGTTAAGGATCGATTCCCCCAGCACAACTATTGCTTAAGGAAGCGAACGTTTGGCCTTCATTAGCATGGTAAGCCCTTCGTTCTAGAACAGGGTACAGAAGAGATGCAAACTCTATCTGGATTTGCCATTCTATGAAGTCATAGAAGCAAGAGCTAGATTTTTAGCTATTTAATTCCTTCTCATGCAAAACTGGCACCCCATTCAGTCAGCACCGGGCTTCCTGAACAGCCTCTCTTCTCCGCTAATCTGCAGCCATTGTGCAAGATGCTGTAGGAAATGCGTCTAACGCTCCACTTCAAAGCTCTCAAATACCGACTGTGTTGTGTGTCAGAAGAGTGAGGAGTCCCCGGGCACAGCAAGCAGTAACGTACTTGCAGTGTTGTCAACTCTTCTGATTTTTGCCATGAATCTCATGATAATTATTGTTTCCTTAAAGCCCCAGCTCCTGGAGTCAAGTGGATATGGGATGATTTCAGCCTTCATTCTTTTAAAGGAAAAGTAAGTTTCTAGCCCTCCTGGCTGTGCAGAAAACTTCCAAATGGGACCCCAGTGCACCCGAAAGGCTCAGAAAGCAGAAGGCCAATAAAAGAACACCACAGCTATTATTTTTACATCATTTCCTGACTTTACAGCCAATCTCCTGATTTTTGAACATTTGAGGTTCAATCCTGCATAGGGCCAACAGCTGGCCCGGGTATGGGGTAGTTAGCAAAGGGGAGGGGACCAGGGCCAAATGTCCTGCAAGTTTTCTGGATGGGGGGAGGGTTGGTGTTTTTAAAGTCCCCAGAAGGAAACGTGTCCAACGCTGGCCATTCTCTCCAAAGCTATGAGTGCGCCCGTCTGGTTTTGCACCAGCGGTTCACCACTGTTGCTAGAGCTGGGAGAGCAGGAGCAGGGATCCCTCGCTGCCATGAGCAAACAAGGA